CTGCCCCCATTTTTAGAATGGCTTTATAGAATGTTGATTTGCTCTGTCAACACAATATAACTTATGCACCTTCCTACAGCAATAACGTATCGAATAAGAATGCCACGGACTAAATTTTCACTGACCCCTACATAGCTGGCCAGAACTGGATGCGTTAGTTTAACATGCTATTTTGTCTAGTACAGTTTAGTCAGACAAAATGAGCAATTTTCCCTTCTCTTTCTGTATTAGAAGTTAGAGGAAAACTTAACTGCATTAAAAGCTGAACTTAAAAGAAAACAAAGAATTTAGTTGTTGTTCTCCGGGTGTTTTAAAGTATTTCATAAATCCAGGAGTAACGAAGAGAAGAGAAACATGTGCATGCAAAACTAGGAGGGAAGTATTCTTGAGAGGAAAATTAAAGTTAGGTAAGACCACCAGAAACCTTTATGAGCATTTATAGATTGATTGAATGCAAAGCAAGATGTTGGCCTTGTACAGCGTCTAGAGTAATGCTATTCTAAAAACATTGCCAAGTTCAATAAAGTCAAAACTACACCACTTAGCTTCAGAACTCACACGAGAAGTGAGAAGGAAAATAGTATTACAAGAGGTATGGCAACGTGATCATTATGATCCTGAGAATTTCTTTCTTCATAATTCTGCAGATGTCTTTGCTTGCATACATTTACAAGATCCAGGAAAGTTTGACTCATAAAACCAGTTAAGATATGCTTGTGTAACATGAACTGGCGCATGTATTTGTGGACAAGACTATATGGGAAGAAAAGATTTGTGTTTTCTGTGACTTGAAATCATGTGATTTACACGTGTTGATTTATATCTATCAATTAATCCAATGGGTCTCTGTGCTATAACTGGGACTGCAAATTGTATGTTGGCCTAAATGTATTGATTTGTAAATAAACATAATTGGAATATTTTTGTAACTGAAAATTAAACCTGCCTCAGCTTCACATCGAACCTGCATTGTGAACAACGGACTACATCACAAGTCTTCCTAGGATAGTCTTCCCACCTGTGATAGGAATACAACTATTAACTGTGCAGGAGAGTTGTTTTATAGTACTTTTTTAGGCTAATCTCCAAAATGGGGAAAAAATGATGGTGAACATGACTGGCTTATTGTACTGTTACATCTACAACCCACTAAACAAGCTGCAGTAAGGATATAACATTGCCACAGAGCACTCTAAGCCTGACCCTTAAGACCCCAAACAGGGCATGTCTTTAGAAGTAGAACTCCTTGAAGGGATAAATTGCATCTGATGCCTCACTGCATTTTGCAAATTAGATTGCTTTTGTTTTGTGATTGGTCATCGGGAGGTACATGAGGGAGGGGCTGTGGCTTCATTTGTGAGTCTGATTGTGTTACTAAGGAATTACATGCTGTGCCTGGAAAGAAAGTGTTCTGATAGCAGGAAATGTGCATTTCCTTTAATATGTGATTTGACCTTCAGTCCTTAGTGTTAATCACACTGGGGGCTGTCAGAAACCACTCTGTTCTAGTTCCAGCTACAGGCCTTTCAGCCCTTATTGTGGACAACTTGTTAGAATTTGCATTAATGGGGGATTGTTGTAAAGGATTTCAAACTAAGCAAAAACTAATTTAGAATGATCAGGAAGTTTTCTCTTTGCTGCTGCCTTTGTGGGGCAAGATGGGAGGGGCGATGAACACAGTGCCTAATCCTAACTAAATTAAAAATCCATTATTTAGTTCTGCCCATAGATATTCTGTGTTAATATCTTCTGCTTCTGTCCCTTGAAACTTTTAAAGACATTGAAGGATAAGGTGTTGCCCTTTGGTTCAGTGGGATATGCTACTCATTCAGCTGTCATTCTAGTTGCATCTTTTGATGGCATGAGCCATCTTGTCCTTCATTTCATCCAAGAAAATCTTCCACCCAAGGCAATCATCAAACGAAGCAAAATAGCAAGGCTTGAAGAGGATGACTTTAATGCCAGAGAAGTACAGTAACTTAAAAAAAACCTTAGTAAACAGACTGCATCCCAGAACTAGTAAACCACAGCTCTGCCATTCCATCTGTCATGTACAGTGGAACTGATGATGCACTGTGGAAGGGAATAGCATCCTAAATTCTCATAAAAGGAACCAATCTTTGCTCACTGTGTTGCATTATGCTGCTGCAATGAAAAGCACTTCTGGGCACACCAAAGAAATATTACAGAATCCAGCAGCTGGCTTTCTTTTGTTGTGCAGTAGCAAAACTGCCAACCTTCATGATGAATTCATAAAACTGAATCTCCATTAACTGCGTTTGCCAAGGTCCATGGTTACACATGCCACTGACCACACATGACGAATTCATAAAACTGAATCTCCATTAACTGTGCTTGCCAAGGTGTTTTATGGTCCATGGTTACACATGCCACTGACCACAGAGATTACTGAGGATGGATAGCCGTAATGAACTGAGTCAAATTATTCAGAAGCTCTGCATTATTACTCTGCTATAGCAGACCTGGCTTGTATAACGGAGACCTGGCAGGCAATATGGGTGGGATTGCCCTTTCACAGATGTGCCCCCAGGATACTCCATACAGTATCAGGGCACAGTTTTACTCTGCTATATTATATATAGCAGACCTGGCTTGTATAACGGAGATCTGGGCAGGCAATATGAGTGAGGTTGCCCTTTCACAGATGTGGCCCCAGGATACTCCATACAGTATCAGGGCAGATTGGAGGGACTACTGTGGTTGTTCATAGGGATTCCATCCATTACTGCCTTGCTTTCAAGCTTGGGTCTAGAATGTTTGTACCTGATGGTGGGGCTAGGGATAGTACTGGTGCACCAATCTGCCCACATCCCAGCGCTTTCCCTTCCAGGACTGATCAAGTTCATCTCATCTGCATTGTTGAGGTCCCACAGAACTACTGATAGTCAGAGACTTTAACATCCATGCCAGGTCAAAACTATTGGGTCCAGGCCTGAAGTTCATGGGCTCCATGACATCCATGAGTCTATCCCAGCATGTCACTGGCCCTATGCATCTAGCAGGTCACACTCTGGACCTGATGTTCTTGACTGTGCAGGCGGAGAGTGATCTGATCTTTCACCCACTGTCATGGGCAGATCACTTTCTGCTGAGTTCCAATCTGTTGATGGCAACCCCTCTCCACGGGGGGAATAGACCTGTGAAAAGGTCTGCCCTCGTAAGAATAGACCATAGGCTTCTTCACCCTGAAGGGCTTCAGGAGGCCTTGGAGGGTATCTTGTCAAAATGGTAGGCATCCCTGTCGAAGCCCAGGTTCACAGATGGCATGCAGCATAGTACCTCAGAACAAGAGAAACACAGCACACTGAAAGCTTAATAGGACAAACAGAACCTGTGTTTTCTTGCTAAACACAAACACCCACCATCAGTTTACTTATATTCTTTTATGCAAACATGTTATTAAAAAATCAGTCATCTATACATTATAAATGTCTATGATATCCAGGTAAAGGTAAAGGTTTCCCTTGACATTTAGTCCAGTCTTTTCTGACTCTAGGGCGCGGTGCTCATCCCCATTTCCAAGCCATAGAGCCAGCGTTTGTCCGAAGACAGTTTCCATGGTCACGTGGCCTGTGTGACTAGACATGGAACACTAATATCTTCCCACCATTGTGGTACCTTTTTATCTACTCACATTATTACATGTTTCGAACTGCTAGGTTGGCAGGAGTTGGGACAAGCAACGGGAGCTCACATGGCTTTGATCTTACGACTGCTGATCTTTGACCTTTTAGCACAGAGGCTTCTGCAGTTTAACCCACCACGTCAGTCCCTCTGACAACCTACCTTAATTGAAATCCAAACCACGTTAATTAATATATATGAATTACCACGTCCCTATGATATCCAACCTAATGTTTATGATGCGTTCCTTTAGTAATAAATAATAAATAACTATCTGGGATAGTTTGGATTTTAATTAGGGTGGTTTGGATATCGTAAACAATTATATTGTTTATATTGTATAAATTACTGATATTTTATAATGTATATATAAAAAGCATATAAGTAAATTGTTGGTGGGTGTTTGTGTTTAGTAAAAAAAAAAAAAACTCCACAGGTTTTGTTTATATTATTAGATGGCATGTAGAGACAACCCGGGTGATTAACACAACCACTCCTTTTTGTAGAGATAGTTTTTTTAAAGTTATTGCTGTCAAACAGCTCTCTTTAAATAACCATCCTGCTGTGGGAAAAATGCAGATCTTTTGGGGGCCAAATCCTTAAGTGTTTGGATGACAATTCCTGCATCCCCAAACCAACTGGCTGGAGGTTTCAAGCAGTGACTTTTACAAGTTTGTAAATCTCCTGTGTTTTCACAAGCTGCCCTGGAGGTGGTAACTCCTATGTATTCTAGCCTTTTTCTACATGCTAGCTTCTTGTATACAAGGGCAATTGGCTGTGGTGAGGAGTTGGTGGAAGAACAGTCAGTCAAGTGAACCTTCATTGGCTAAGTCATTAAACTCCAAGCACAAATTTGCTATCCTGTCCGATTCTTGTGAAAGCGAGGCCTTTTTGGTTGAGTAAAAATATCAGCAAGATGTTAATGAATATATATTCTCTGTTTCTTTCAGGGCCCACCTGGTCCAAAAGGCGAGAAGGTGAGTCAGCATGCTATTGTTGCTACTAACAAATAAATGGAAGCCCTCCTGATATTAACAGGTGGCTCTTGAAGCCATATGATGTGAGATTATTTAAGAGAGCTGAGTTAGCACACAGATGCTGTGTTAAAACTATCATCTCATCTTTCCACTTTGCAGGGAGATCAAGGTGATCAGGGCCCACGGGTAAGCATATTAACCAAAATGTTCCACTTCCCCTTTCCTGACTAGGCAATTAGTACTTAGCGCAAAACTAAATTGAACAGAGTGTCACAGCTAATTACGCTTATCAGCTGCTTTCCCCCTGCATGTTGTAGAAAGTGTCTGCAGGAAGGCAACAGCCAAAAGTGGTTTCACAGACTATAGAAACTATTGCAGTAGAAACAATCCGTGCTACATGCATTTGCAATACACTAAAATGCAAATTTTCTGTACTTAGGTCACAGTATATTTCAGAATGGTTGTGATATGCAGTTTTAACTAAACAGATCTTTCAGCTTCTCCCCCTTGTGCTTTTAAAAAATCAGATGTGCATGAACTAGAGCAAACTACAGATGGATTTTAACAAATGATAGATCTAAAAATTTAGAGTCATGCATGTCTTTAATATCTGCCTTTTTGAAACAACAGTTTGATTCAGGTGTCTAGAATATAGGTTTTAGAAGTAGCAGGCCTTGCAAAGTTTTTTTCAGAAAGTAATTAATTTGTAATGTATTAAAGTAGCTCATTGACATTATGAAAAGTTAGAGAATGGACTAACTTGGGGGTACTCTAAATGCCACAGGTATGCATTTTAGCCCCCCCCCATGACATGAAAAAGTAAACAGAATAAACAGAGTAAACAGAATTCATGATGAGGAAGGAACAATGTTACCAGTCATTCTTTTATTTGCAAAGGGACTGTTCTAATGTTCTCATTACCACCAAAAGTAATATGATGCAGCCGATGTTGCTTGTAGCACATTTTGTCCCTTCCCTGAGAATTAATCAGTACCTTTGACTTTGTCTTGATTTGATTTGCGATACAAATTCTGCCACTATGAGAGTGCTAGTTGTTTCTCTTTACATCTGTGCATCACAGTAAAAAGGGGGGGGCGGCGGGAAGCACCAGCTAATGCTGGGAAATAATTCTCAGAACAGAAAAGTCATGTCTCTCCTCTTCATCCAGTATCCCCAAGAGCCCTGGCTATGTTGGCTCCACGTTGAGGGGAGAGTCTTAGAGAAGCTGCCCGGAGGGGGTTGACCCTCTTACCCCTGTCAGCACTGCTCATTTGTTTCCCTTCTCCCTCTGGGTCTAATTTGCACTACTATCCAGAAGGAGAAGGCAAGGTCCAGTGGAGGCTACTGTTCTTCTTTTTTTTCTTGTTCCTCTTTTTATATTTAGTGATGGCAGAGAAACAGACAGGGGAGGGAAAAAAAGGGGAGGAAAAAAAAGGCAAAGCCTCTCAGGTCATGAGGAGAAAGGGGATCCCAAGGCTGTCAAAAGAAGAGCTGAGTAATGTTGGAGGTGCATTTTAGAGATAGGCTCTCCTTCATGAGAGATGACAAGATGTCAGTTGTTTCGTTAACTTTGTGGAGAGATTTTACGTATAAAGAAGGAAATCCTGTCTCCTAAACATGTCGATCATCTTTGCTGTCAGTAGTTTCTTTCTGAGCCTCCTAAAACAATACTGTAGTCCTCTTTTTCATTGTGTGTCAAGTGCTACCTCATGCCAGTTGTGTTTGCCTTTTGCTTCATGCCAGAAATGAGTCCCTTGCTGTACTGTGGACCTTGGCAGGTGCCCAGTAATTCTAACTGCTGTAACTAATTCTGGTCCCTGTCTGGTCATCTTGAATGCTGGTGCTCTTCTGGGTTTGGTGGAATGGTTTGGTTTCCATGTGCAGCAGATTAAGGTAGTAACATGCTGATAAGACAAAATGGACTGTTCTTTGTCAGACTGGTTGATCATATTTGGATGTGTGTATATTTTTAATACCCGCCCAGAGTAGACTTTGTCTAAAAGGGCGGGGTAGAAATCTGACAGACAGACAGACAGACAGACAGACAGACAGATAGATAGATAGATAGATAGATAGATAGATAGATAGATAGATAGATAGATAGATAGATAGATAGATAAAATAAAATAAAATAAAATATGTATATGCATTATAGTCTCCCGAAAAATCACACAAAGGGCAGGAGCAGAAACATTTCCCTGATGCATTTGCTAATGTTCTAAAGATGGGTTTTCACATGGATCAGGTCCCATCCAAGATACTTGAGTTTGGGAAGGTTAAATTCCCCAGAATGTTCTGCAGCAGTACTACATATGGGAACTCAAAGCATTTTGAGATGTTTTACAAACACATTTCTCAGGTGCATGCCATCTCCACCAGGGTGGCCAGTTCTTAGCCCACTGACATATCAGGAAGTCCACTAAACAATATCTTACCTAGGGTCCCCTCAAATCTAGAAACAGTGCCTAGGGGAACATATTCAAGAAGAGTTCCCTTCTTGAAACCTGAAGTGCTACAGCCAATAACAGCTTTCTTCCCCTTCTTTGGTGTTTGAGAATATTTCTGGGGATGATGGGAATTGTAGACAATCCCATCTGGAAAACACCAGCCTGCGGGAATACAACAAATTCTGCCCTACAGAATACAATAAATATTGCTATTTCTTTTGGGCTGTATATTTGTTTGTATGGGGTCCTCATAATGTTGAGCCTTTGTTTTATTCATACACTTCAGGTTGATCTTAGAGCGGATCAACTAATGATTAAGGGCTAGCTGTTCCATATGAAGGGACAGTGAGCTCTAAGAGTTGGCCTTGTTCCAGATAATACAGGTTGCCAAAAGCAACTCTGCCAGAGTTAACTCTTCTGATAACTATTGTGAGATACTTGAATAATAAGGATAGATACCCTGATGACGATTATCCCCCATCAGCCACCTTTCTCTCACCAGGTGCAGGAGCAGTGAGCCAGATTTCTTGCTGTGCTTCTAGCTAGAAAACAAGAATGCGTAAAATGACTGCTAGGAAACCTTTTATATCAGAGTGATATGTTCAAGACTTTCCAAGAACTACATTATAGCTGTCTTTGTAGACAGCACAAAGGCATGATATTGCCAGGGGCAGAAACAAATTGATTTTAGCTTTGAACCAAGTTAAAGAGCTAAAGAGAAAATAAGAGATAGGTTGCAAGCGGTGATTATGGTTGGAAAACTAATTGTTTTACACCAGTCACAAAATTACCAAGACATTCCTTTCTTTTTAAAGCCCTTGCCATGTGATATCTTTGCTTCTGTTCATTATTTGAAGTAGATGTGTGGATCGCTCATCTCTGTAATATATGAAAACATAGTCAAAACCTCTCTTTCATGCTTGAATAATGTTGATTGCATCTGAGATTCCACCATGGTGCTTATAGTCATTTTTTGAAGCATTCTATCCAAATTTGTAATAAGTGGGCATGTGAATTCATTTGAAAAAGAAGTGGGGATGTATATTAGAAGGGTCTAGGAAATGATAAAAGCCTGTGATTTCTAATTTTGTAGACTTTGCAGGGAAGTTTTGACACTTGAGCTTATTTGAATCACGTTACATGTTACATTAGATGCACTGTCCTTTTTTTCTTCTTTGTTTTTATTTTACGGAAAAGTAAATGGGGAGCTGACAGACTGTAACGGCAGCATTCAAGCATTCAAAGTGGAAAGATTTAATGAATCTATCCCCAGCTGTTTCCACTCAAAAAAATCTCCCTCCAGCTATAAGTACACTTTTCCCTTTAATAATGCTGGGTTTAGGGGCACTGGACCCCAAGTAATTCAAAGTCAATGTGTAACTCTAATCCCCTTCCCAAGTGTAACCAGAAAGCATAACCAGTCGATTAACATTTTGGCATGCCCCAGAACCCTTCCCAGCCACCATGTGGAGCCACCATCCCAAGAGAGAGGGCTGGCCAGGCTGCTGCCATCAGACTGGGGGCCACCTCACCATCAGGCCAATCAATGAATCAATGAATCAATGAATCAATGAATCAATGAATCAATGAATCAATGAATCAATGAATCAATGAATCAATGAATCAATGAATCAATGAATCAATGAATCAATGAATCAATGAATCAATGAATCAATGAATCAATGAATCAATGAATCAATGAATCAATGAATCAATGAATCAATGAATCAATGAATCAATGAATCAATGAATCAATCAATCAATCAATCAATCAGTCAATCAATCAATCTCTCTCTCTCCATCCATCCATCCATCCATCCCTGTATAACCAAAGCTGTGCTGCTCAGATGTGTGCAATTCAAGGGAGAAGTGTAATATTAAAAGTCCTCTGTTGGTATCAGGTCTATGCGGAGATCTTCAGCAGGAATTCAAGAGGAATAGAGAAGTAGAGAGCTTAGAAATGTTACCTTTGGACTGTGAACCTCAGAATCCCCCAGACAGCACAGCCATCTAGTAGTTAAGTTTTAAATAATATTTCCAACCTTAGGAGAGTAGCATTCCCTTCCCCAAAAGTAATGAATCCTTCCTTCCCTAGAACAAGAACTCTGCGTTAATTATTTAATGTGACCTTTAATTTCCCCAGATACTAATATGTGCCAAGGAAAAACATCAGACCAAAGGCTATGTTGTTCCACATTTTCTTCCCAGAATGGCCAATGAGATTGGTTTGGGGTGCCTAATATACAGAGAGTGAATGTGATAGCAATTCCTTACTCATTTTGCATAATAAGTGATACTGAGGAACATTGCTGAACAAACCTAAGTCTATTTCACAACCTAAGTCTGAATTCACCTCATACAAGCAGACTCAGCCCAGACATCTCTCATGAATTTCTGGGACTCTGATCTACATTTTTTTCCTCCGCTATCCATGAAGGGGTGGTATACAGCCTGAGGAAGTGGGATTTCATTCATGAAAGCTTGCAATTTGTGTGATTCTTTTTAGTGTTTCAATAAAGTTATCTCCTTACTCTTGCATTGCTGAACAAGTTATTGTCATGCACTACAAGTGGCTTCTAGAGCCTTTATCAAAATATAAAAAGGGGGTTCTATCCAGGAGGTGTTCCTACTGACAGGAGAAATCTGTCTGCTGATTGGGAAGTGATTTTTCTCAAGCGATAACCTATCCTATATACTAACCTACTGTATTATCACTCTCTAATTGGCCTTCTCAGCCAC